CACTGACAAATGAAACCATTCATTTGTAAATGAATTTTAAACAGCACCCTCTAGTGAATTATTTTGATACATCTTTTACAATTGTTTTTAATTTATGTTCTACACAGTACAGGTAGTCCAGTACAGGACTGCAATTAAGCCCAATATTTGTGTTGTTAAGTGAGAAATTTGTTAAGTGAATTTGCCCCATTTTACTACTTTTTTTGCCACTGTTGTTAAGTGAATCATTGCAGTTGTTAAATTCGTAACATGGTTGTTAAGTGAATCTGGTTTCCCCATTGACTTTACCTGTCAGAAGGGTATCACATAACCCTAGGACACTGCAATTGTCATAAATATGAGTCAGGTGTCAAGCATCCGAATGTAAATCACATGACCATGGGGATGCTGCAATGGTCATAATTGTGAAAAATGGTCATAAGTCACTTTTTTCAGTGCTGTACTTATTTACTTATACCTGTACTTATTTACTTAGCTGTGCTTTTCTAATTCAGTGGTTCTCAACCATTCGTGTTTTACTTCCCAGCAATCATGGATCCCACCAGAAAAAAAATATTCTTCTGAGAACAGTTATACATTTACAAGCATTTTCTTGCTATAATCTTCAAAAACAATAACACTGCTACAAATAATAAAGTGGTAGCATAGTAAAGTTTTAGATGTGTACACAAGGGAGTAGAAATGGGACGTTAAATCTGGGGAGATTACTTTTGAGAAGGTTTGGGCTAAAACCTGGCTGGTTTTTACAGTACTTTAAGGCTCTTAAAGGGATATGGAAGAGGAGCTGTTACTAGTTAGCATCCAGCAGCAGAGCTGCCAACACATCCGTGAGTTTGAAAAAAGTGAATTAATTCTAGATATCGAGCCATAGCTATTGCCTCCTCTTTTCATTCAGTTGAATTGTTTATGTGCCATCAGGTTGGTGTCAGCTTTTAACAGTCACATAAACTTTCTCAGGATGATCTGTCCTCAAACTTGCCCTTCATTAGTGCCCATCATTACTCATTGAGTTCATCCACGTTGTTGAAACTCTTCTTATTCACTTTTCTTCCACCCTTCCAGTGTTATGGACTACTCCTCAATGAAGCTGGGTCATTGTATAATTTGTCCAAAATATGATAACTTGAATCTTGTTATTTTTGCCCTGAGTGATATTTCCAGGTTTATTTTTTCAATGATCCCTTTGTTTGTTTTCTTGACTATCTATGATATTCTCATGAGTCTTCTGCAACACTAAAGTTCAAAAGTGTAAATACCCTTTCTATCCAGCTTTTTCCAAATTTCACTTCCATAAAGTGTCACAGAAGCACCATTGCTTGCACAATCCTGATCTTTGTAGATGGAGACACATCTCAGCATCAAAATACCGTTTTCCCCAAAATAAGACATCCCCTGATAATAAGCCCAATCAGGCTTTTGAGCGCATGGCAATAAGGCCTTTCAGGGTTCAAAAAAAATATAAGACAGGGTCTTATTTTCGGGGAAACATGGTATCTTTTCGAGGGTCTTCAAGACTGTGCTAACAAGTGCCTGTCTGCAGCATATTTCTTGACTACTGCTTCATTTACAGTTGATAGTAGAATATAAAGGCAGAAACCACTTCATTTTTTGCCACTTCTATAACTGGTTGCCTTATCTATTGCCATTAGTTTGGTCTCTTTTATAGTTAGTCCCATTTTTTTTCACTGTGTTGCTTGACTTCCATTGCAAGAACTTGCCAATCATCTGCATTTTAAATTATGAGAGCAGGGTCTTCAGCATAGCACATGGGTATCAAACTTGCTGTGTCACGTTGCCGTCCCGTGACATTTCGTGACATTTTTCCCATTTGTGGAGCTGGAGTGGACATGGCCCGTCAGTTTGACACGCCTGGCATAACACAAACGACCGAGCTTTCTTCCTCATACCTATCTTCTTGCAGTCTACTCTCCCTTCAGCTCTGTCATTGATCTGGTATGAATGAAACTGATGGCTTGCCAAGACAGACCTTGGCTGCCATCTCTGCTTCCCGAGATGCTGCATGTGAATGCCAAGGCAGTGGGTTGAAGGAGGCAAAGTGGATAGAAAAGTAAAAGCAGAAAGCTGACTCATTGACTCAAACACCTGCAGGATACCAGAGGAAAGATCACAGGCTGCTGGGGGTGGGAATGAGGTTATCTTATTACATTATTTCAGGAATGCAACCAAGGAGAAGTATTTTTAGGTCTGTCTTCTATAGAAAGTTAGCACCCACCCCTTTCCTAGAAGAATGAAATATTTTGAGAAATATTAAAAAGGCAAAATATTATATTTCCCTGGATGAGAAATGGAGAAATATGCTCTTGGAAAGCAGCCCCCACCTTTCTTAATAGCCTTCAGCAGATGTCATCCCTTAAGAGATAAAGAGATAGTTAGCTCTATTCATAAGCAAATACCTTCACCCAAGATCCAACAAAGGTAGGATTAGCCCTCAGCCACAATAGGAATTGCCCAAAGACCCTTCATTGCATCAGCCCAAACCTCAACCAAACGTAGCTCAGACAAACACCTAGTGTTTGTCCCATGGTGCCATGTCTGACAACAGCCAATAGAATACATGTTCTTGCACAGGAACAGGAAGTTCAAGTGCAAAGCCCAAGAGAGGTATAAAAGCCACCACTCTCAACTCCATATGGTCAGCTACCCAGAATCAAATGTGCTTGGTGGTTCTGCTTCATCAATAAATGGACCCTCTTTCCAATCAGTCTCCAGCCTCCATTTTGTCTCCAGTGCCTTTCTCTCGGCTTGGACCTGGACCTGGATATTTATTCCAAAACTTCTATCATATGTACAATGTTTTGGTGTGCCACTAGTGGTATATATTCAGAAACTTTCCTGTATCTTTACCCAAAGTAGTAAACTACTTCAATCAATGAGTGCTCACAAAAAATGTCCCCCTCTATAAATGATCAGAAATCAGATCTCTCCCAGCGGCTTCATATAAATGTTGAACAGAAGAGGCGAGAAGACTGACCCTTGGGGCACCCCACAAGTGAGGGGCCTCATGGCCAACCTCTGCCCCCGTCAACACCGCTTGCGTACGACCCGAGAGGTAAGAGGAGAACCACCGCAAAACAGTGCCTCCCACTCCTAACCCCACGAGGCGTCGCAGCAAGATACCATGGTCGATGGTATCGAAAGCCGCTGAAAGATCTAATAGGACCAGAACAGAGGAATAACCTCTGTCCCGAGCCCTCCAGAGATCATCCACCAGTGCGACCAATGCCGTCTCCGTGCTGTATCCGGGCCTGAAACCCGATTGGCACGGATCTAGGTACTCCGCTTCATTCAGGGCCACCAGGAACTGACGTGCCACCACGCTCTCAACAACCTTCGCAAGAAAGCAAAGGTTGGAGACCGGACGGAAGTTACTCAAAGTAGCTGGATCTAAGGCAAGTTTCTAGAGGAGGGGTCTAACCACCGCCTCCTTCAAGGTGGCAGAAAAGCTTCCCTCACCCAAGGAAGCAGTTATCACTGCCTGGATCCAGTCACGTGTCACCTCCCGAGCTGAATAAACCAGCCAGGAGGGACATGGGTCCAATACACACGTGGTCGCACTCAGCTTCCTCATGATCCTGTCCACTTCCTCAGGGGTAACAGGATCGAACTCCTCCCAAATAACAAGACCCACCTCCTCCTCACCGTCTGACCCCTGAATGCTTTTGGTATGCTTATAATTTTCTAAAATATTTGTTGCTTTATACCACCCAATTACTTTTAGGGAGATGGGTAGTTGTACAAATTTGATAAAATAAGTAACCATTTAATTTCCAACTTCCAGCTAAATTGGAAGAGGGAAGTCTTGACAAATGGCTAAGTGTAACTCACTAAAGAGTGCAATCCACAGCTTGGTAACTATATTGTATATATTTATTTTTGGAAAAAAATGTTCCCTTTATTAATCTCCAGTTGGCTACATACAAACCAGAAAATAGTTTTAAAGTTAAGGATCATCAAAATTAATGTTTTTCAGCGTTACTGAACTGCTTGCCAGGGATGATTTTCCTGTGGAATTCAGGATTTCCCTCTTGCACTTTGGTGAAAGCCAGCCTCTGCTGACCCCGAGAGTCAAATGAGTGACCATTTTACTTTTTTTGCAGCAAAAACTGGCATGGTGCGCCTTATTCACTAACAAAAGCTATGGAAGAAAAATGCACTAGTTAGGCTGTATTCACATTTAGGCTGTATTCGCATTTGTTTAAACAAAGTTGACTCGTTAAGCATAGTTGGCAGGATTTTCCCAACAAGTTGTAACGCTCTGTACGCACAATAGTTTTAAACGCAACCAAGGAATGGTTTTTGGTTCAGCATGCAGTTTTTACAATAATGCTATTTGTAATGAAATGTTTTTATAATACTGTTCACAATACTATTCCCGCTGTGTACGATGCGAAAAGAAACAACAACAACAACAACCCGGAAAAACAAAAGACCAAGACGGGTCCCTTCCATTGATCGATTCCGTGAAGCATTGCGCACGCGCGAGAGTGGCGCGCCGAACGCAATCCTCCGTGCAAAGCGGGCAGCGCAGGCTGGAGCGCGCGCGCCCTCGCAGGCCTTTCTCACGTGACGGTCCACGTGGGCGCTCGGCTCGCTCGGCCGGCGCTTCTTCTGTGTCTCGGCGGCGGAGGCTCCGCTTTGCGCCTCGTCCCGGGCGTTTTGCGGGTGACCGCCGAAGCCGGAGGACGGCCCAACGCGACTACCGAGAGGGACTCCCCGGTCTGGTTCTCTCAAGCCGAGTTACAGGGTAGAGAACAAAAGGCGGGGGGAACATGTCCGAGGGTGGTCCGGGAGTGGCTGTGAACCGGGCACGAGTCGCCAGGAGACCACCGGGACACAGACTGAGCAGGAGAGGGCTCGGAGCCTGCTCGTGCTCTCTTCCCTGCTCGTGCCCGGGGCTTCCCGGGTCTCGAATCATCCGGGCCGAGCGTAGGTGAGATCAAATGCAACCATCTCCTGCAAGGGGAGCCATATTCACGACGTCGCGAAAGTTTCGACTTCTGGCCGGTCCTGAATAGATCCTCCAGCTCTGGAAAGATTGGGCGGGGGTCACTAGGATAAGGATCCCCAACCCTCTTTCCCAGGATCGACACCGGTCCGTGGCATGCCAACAACCGGTCCGCGCAAACAAGCGAAGCCCCATCCGTGGGGTGCAGGCAGCACGCGAGACCACGTCCCCTCCGGTCCCTGGTGCCCAAGAGGTTGGGGGTCATTTGCCCGTAGGGTGCCGTTCAGATGTTGGGGATGGTGACGCTGATGTGTCCCGGCCAAACTTACTGTTGTTCATTCTGTCTAAGAATCATGGTAATTCATTTCAATGGCAGGTGGAGGACCCCAGATTGAAGAACACTTCCATAGGGTCTGTTATAACTAGGCATGATCTGCTTCCCATCATGCCCCCTTCCCTCCTTCCCCCCTTGCAATAATTCATTCTCAGGATTTTGTAAATAATGAAAACACAATTATCTTTGTAACACACACACACACCTGTTAGAAGAGGAACTTACTATACTCATTTAAGGTGTATAATGCCTATAGTATTATAGAGCTCATTTGATGTATTTACCTTTGCTACCCGTGAAACAGTTATTAAATGATCTTTCTTTGTCTCTTCCTTCCATCTTTCTCAAAATGTTACTGTTGAGGACCTATCCCTTTAAAAATTAACGCTGCTATTTTTGTGTGCAGAACTAATAGCACAGTTGCAGTAGCCTTTAAATGAATCAATTAATTACATTATAACATCAGACATATAGTCAAGGCTATGGTTTTCCCAGTTCCAATATATGGCTATGAAAGTTGGACCATAAGAAAGGCTGAGCGCCAAAGAATTGAGGCCTTTGAACTATGGTGCTGGAGAAGACTCCTGTGAGTCCCTTGGACTGCAGGGCGATCAAACCGGTCAGTCCTAGAGGAGATCAACTCTGACTGCTCTTTAGAAGGCCAGATCCTGAAGATGAAACTCAAATACTTTGGCCACCTAATGAGAAGGAAGGACTCATTGGAGAAGAGCCTAATGCTGGGAAAGATTGAGGGCAAAAGAAGAAAGGGACGACAGAGAACGAGGTGGCTGGATTGAGTCACTGAAGCAGTAGGTGTGAGTTTAAATGGACTCCAGAGGATGGTAGAGGACAGGAAAGCCTGGAGGAACGTTGTCTATGGGGTCGTGATGGGTGGACACGACTTCACAATTAACAACAATACTAGACTGCATCAATTCAACCATTGTCTGCAATACCCAATCCCCGAAAAAAAAACAGACTAAAGCTCCATTGATGGACTACAGTCTTACTTTTGGTCCATTTCTGCCAAAGATCTCTCTCTAAAACATATTGCTGTACTATTTACCCCTTCCCTTAAATGTAGATTCAAAGGAATATTGGGAAGTTTTTCAGAGGTAGTATTTAACTTTTAATATTCCACCGGCTCAGTAGGGTTGAGAATGCTAGCGCCCCAGGAGTTCTATAGTGTTCCTGCCCCAAATTTGTAGTTGGTTCTATAAGAAGATGGAAAGCTATGATCTTTCCTCTACAAGCGTCCTTTAATTTACTGAGAAAATGTAACACTTCTTAGATTGTCTTCACCCTGGAGTAGAAAACATGGGTAGCTGGTGTTTGAATTTCAATTAAAAAGTGGAACCAAATAAAACAACTTGTGAAGTGGGTTTTGTTTGTAGAAAGAATAATAGAAGTTTTGTAAAGGAAGAGTGTTTCCTAAATTGACTATCTGTTTCTCTTGCTTATGCAGATCCTCTGAGACTAACCAACATCCATGAATCCCACTAGACTGCAGGAAACCAGCCAGCTATCTGCAAATGTCAGAATTCACTTCAAAGTCTGCAGGTTCATCATGGAAGCAGGTGAGCTAAGAATTGCTACTGCTGATTAAACTATCTCCCTTCCTTGGTTAGTAATGTCCAATTCCTATGAAAAAGGAGTTGCTGTATTGGGAGAAAGTGCCAATCTGTGAGGCACTTGGAGTTAGGGGGTCTTACTGGAGAGGCCTAAAGTCAAAGACAATGCAAGATGTTAGATTGGTGAGCTTCATGAAGTAGTGTGAAATAGGTATGACTTACTCTATTTCTTATTTCTTATTTAGTTTTAGTCATGTCTTATACTTGAGTAGACACACGCAGACATTTCCAGTGTGTTTGCATTTATTTGTGAGAATTCTAGAAAATGGGAACTGGCTTATTTCTGATGGAGGAACAGGATAAAAATACTTGGGTTCTGAACCTCTACAACTCCAATTTTCCCAGAATCTTAGGTGTGTTGTTTGGCTGTGTTGCTTCATATCCCACATGGCCTCAAGTCTCCCATTCCTAAACAGCTTTACAATGAGAGTTCTGCAAGTAGGACAGATCTTGTCAACTTCCATTAATTTCAGGGAGGTTTGTGTAGATGAACTTCCCGATGGGCTTTACCTTACATTCTCTGCTTGTGGTCAGGTCATCTCTGAGTCAAGAAGTTGTGTCTTGATTCTTCCTTATTCTTTAATGGGAGGGCTAGAATTTCCTTGCTGAATCTCCTTTCTGCTAACAGGTGTGAAGTTAAGCCTGCGCTCTGTCCCTATTGCTACAGCGTGCACCATTTATCACCGATTTTTTATGGAGGTGCCTCTGGAACCATATGATCCTTACTTGGTAGCTATGGCTGCACTGTATCTGGCTGGGAAGGTAGAAGAACAGCATTTGCGGATAAGAGACATCATCAATGTGAGCCACAGGTAATAAGCATTGGGATCAGGTTATGTAGTTATGAAGGGTAGGCTGGATGTATGAGGAGTAAGTAGTTGCTTAGAATCAGCAAAACCAACTTCCTGCAGCTTGGCATTTCCCATTGCAAAGAGAGTCTCTACTACAGCAAAAGTAGTTGCTGAATCAAGGAATGGGTAGCCAGGTGGACCTGGCGTTTTGCAAAATGTGGAATTCCCAGTATTTGGTCATATCAGTTAGGAATTCTGGCTATTGCATCCCCCACATACTTGGAAGAAGAGCAGATTGAAGAAGATTGGTTTAGGTCATAGGTCCATTAGCTTTAAATTATAATGCACTTTATCCTTTATGAACATCTGATTCTTTAGTTCCAGCTGTGCTAAGTCATCTTAATACACAAGACTTCCTTGTAAGATTCACGAAAAGACCTTGTGGATTAGAAGAAGACCTCATCCATTCTTATATTGGTCAGGTTTTCTCAGGAAGTCCATAAATAGAACAGGAAGATTACACTTGTCGGCTTTGAGTACTGAACAATTGTTATTCATTGCCTCTGAGCCCAGGAGATCTAAACTCTGAACATCATGTAAGCCAAATGTCTTTTCTGCATTTTGTGATGTGAATTCCATAAACTGTTTCAGGCTGTAAGAAATATCAGTGCACATTATAGTCCCATGATGGCGAACCTATGGCACATGTGCCGGAAGTGGCATGCAGAGCCATTTCTCCGGGCACGTAAGCTGTTACCCGTTGCTTTTACAGGTTCTGGCACGCTGGAGCTGGCCTTCAGACACACGGGAGTGCCGGTAACCAGAAGAACAGCCGCATGCACTCGCTGGGAAGATGGTCTTCCGGTTTCCAGCATGCACATGTGCACCGGGCAGTTGGTCTTTGTGTGCGCATGCGCACCAGAAACTGTAAAACCAGGTGGCCAATGTGCATGCCGGAAACCAGAAGATATCTTCCCAGCGTGTACATATGCACTGGGCGGCTGCTTTTCTGGTTTTCGGCATGCACATGCACTCCTGTTTCGGCACTTAGTGCGGAAAAGGTTCACTAACACTGTTATAGTTATTAGGTAAATTAAGTTTTAATATAGAATTTAGTGGGATTTGGTAGAATCTCCTAAACCTGCAGAGAGCTCAGACTCCTATTAAAAAAAAAAGTTAAGCTTAGATAGCCAAGTTTATCTTCATGAAGTAGGATGCAGGCATAAGTCCAGTTGAACTTTCAAATAATAGTTCTGGAAAAAACCTTGAAATTCTATGAAGAACCTGAAGTGTGGCTTTTTATCTGTCCAATCCCTCTCCTCCCAATTAAATTTCCTTGCCTTGATTCTAGATAAGGAAAACAGAATTGGGTAAAACATTCTACATTACAGGGCCAGCTTCAAACCTCTATTCAGTCATAATAATATTGGGGAGGTTTCCATTGTTTTACCTAACTTCTGGGAAAGGATAAAGTAGGAGAGGATTGCTACATATACTATATGTTCCTCCTTGAGATGAAGTGGGATCTGAACCAAATGATTATGTTTGTAAATAGCTTTCGAGTATTTTATGATTAGCTGAATGTTGTTGTATGTTGAACTGTAAGGTGGTGTGGGAAGAGATGTTTCTTCCCTAGTGATTAGCAAAGCTGACCTGTTCTGCCCCAGCTACGGATCCCAAAGAACGCAGCATACACAAACTCTGAACAAAACTTAGTTTACTCAAATAACGCAGTTTTAGCAAATGCCGGCTGTTAATAAGCGTTCTTAACAGCCTGCCAGATTTCCACAGATAAGATAGTTTTACTGGAGTTGGCAGAAAGCCCAGAAACAAGGTTGCAGAGAAATCCCAACGCGATGATTAGCAAACTAAAGTTGTTTCCTGCAGCTTGTTGCAAGCTGCGTTCTTTCTTAAGCAGGCTAAGGGAGTGACCAATTAGCCTCAAGTCTTACTCTCAAGGAGACCTCCTCCTGAGGAACCACTCCTGCCTTTTGGCAGCTCTGCATGCCCATGCATTGAGAAGAGGCTCCTCCTCTTCATCCTCTTCACTTAAAGGAGCCTCTGGAGGTTCTGAAGGCCCTGACTGAATCTCTGCCTCTGGCACCACATCTTCTTCAGCCTCCTCGCTGTCCGACTCAAGCGCTGGCTGCACAGGCTGCCGGCGCAACACCACACCAACCTCCTCGTCGTCGGGATCAGCAACAATCCGCGCAGGCTGCTGGCGGGCCACAACATGACCTGCAGGGAAATTATTTCCTGGCTTTATGGCAATTTCTTCTTTCTAATAAAGGTAGTCCTCAACAAACAACCTTAATGGAGCCTGCCCACTACAGTCATGTTGCAATGGTCGTAAAATGGGCTGGGCCATCTAACCAACTCAATTTTACAACATTTTTTGTGGTGCTTGTTAAGTGAATGCAGCAGTCATAAATGTTGATTTACTGGATGTATGTGCTGGTTTTTAGGAAAACCATAATAAAACATGGGCATGTGACCATGGAACGCTGCAAACGGCCATAAATGTGGCCATATTGCTGAGCATCTAAGGTTGGGGTCATGTTACCATGGAGGGGACCCAACCGTAACTCCTCTTTTTCTGGTCTGTTGTAACTTCAAAGGGTTGCTAGGTTGCTTTTATGAATTAGCTAAATAATGTTATATATTGAACTATAAGGTGGTGTGGGAGAGGTTATTAATCATAAGTCGAGGACTACCTATAATTATATATTATAACAACTTCAAACCCATGATAATTTTGAAAAATAAATACATCTACTCTATCAAGTAAATTTTATTCCTATTAAAAAAATGTCCTTCATAAATGAGCCAACCTATCAGAAAGCCGTAGAAGATTGTAAGGTCACCATTAACTTGGGAGCTGAGGGGAAGGCTTGCAAACAGAAACTTTTCAGCATTTTTCTTTATTCCTCTCAGGTACTTGCATCCTCGGAGTGACCCCCTGGAGCTGGACACACATTTCTGGGAGCTGAGAGACAGCGTTGTCCAGTGTGAGCTGCTCATGCTACGTGTGCTCTGCTTCCGTGTCTCCTTCCAGCAGCCCCATAAGGTCTAGGCTACATAAGAGGGACATAGGGTAGAAATGGGGTGCATGAAGTACACGGGAGAGTGGGGGGGGGGGTTTAAGTCTTCTTTGCCTTTGGACACTGAATGGACAGTCCTGTTACAAGAGAAGTTGACACCAGGTTTTTTCCTTCTCCTCCCCCATGTTTTCAATTTCCTCTGAAAGATGTCTTTTTCTTTATGCAGTACCTTCTCCATTATTTACTGTCCCTGAAGCACTGGATGAACCGGCATAGTTGGGAGCGGACCCCGGTGGCGGCAGCAGCTTGGGCTCTGTTGCGGGACAGTTACCATGGACCCCTGTGCCTCCAGCACCCTCCACAGCATATTGCTGTGACAGTCCTTTACCTTGCTCTGCAGTGTTATGGAGTGGAAGTACCTGCTGATGCTGAAGCAGAGCGACCGTGGTGGCAGGTAAGGGAGACAGGGTGGGAAGTGAACAGCTCAAAGGCGTTCTGTGTCCTTCAGCTCTTAATTGGGTCCAGTTTTGGAGCTTGTCTGTGTGGGATTTTGTTTATATGGTTGTTTGCTTATTTATTTAGCATCCTTGCTTCACAGCCTCCGCACTTTACACTGAAATGTGGGTAGTACAGTTTCTTAGATATTAAGTCATTGCTATCACCTGACCTGCACCAGAAATGGAAAACCTCCCACTGATCTTCCAGCCGTTTCTTTAATCAGCCTATCTACAACTTTCCATATTAGGAGAAAATTTTGAAGCAGTATACAGTAATATACCAAAACCAAAGCAAATGTTAAACTACATACAATCCTTACCTTACACATTTTTTAAATAAGATCACTTAGTAAAAACAAAACAAAACTATGATGCTGCCTGTATCTGTCAACCCAAGCCAGCATTATTCAGGTTTAGGAAAAGCACACACACGGAAAGATACAAATTCCTCAATCCTGATCTGTGCATTTTGGCTGTGTTCATATGTCATGCTGAGCTGTAAGGGGTTTTAATCAGATTAGTTTGAACAAACCCTAGGTTGCACTTAATGTGTATAATTGTGATGTGGTTAGCTGAGAATGGAGACTAGACCCATCTGAGAATTATCCAGGGTTTCAGATGTTTCAGGAGTTAGGGTTAGGGTTAACTGTTCCTAGCTACCCTACTGCACGTGGGTTAATTGTGTTTTCTGAAATTCTGTTCAGTAACAAGCTAGAGAATCTGCTGCCTTCCAGCTGTGCAGCAATCTTATTGAGCTTCTAGATCTCATTACGGGGCTACCATTGAACTGGTTCTTATGCAGGATAACTCAATTTCCATGCTCTGAGGATGGGATCTGGAATAACTTGGGAGTTCATGGCTTCAATGGTAATGATGTAATTAGAACTTTGTCATATTCAGTTTGTAGTTAGTTTCCTTTAGGGACCTCAGCAAGGGTAGAGGATTGATGAAAATGATCTTCCCTGGACATTTTATTGATCTGCTCTGTTTCCACCTCATACCTGAGGATTTTGTCAGCATTTGTGGTAGATAATTTTGTTACAAGTCTTGTCGTTCTTTGAAATGTGGAGTTAATGAGGGCTTTGGATATGGATCCCAGCAAGACAGAATTGCTATTGGTACATAAGCATTCACTGGCTTTGGATAGTGTTGTGTTCCCTCTGAAGATGTAGGCTGCAACTTGGGAGTTCTCCTGGATTCATGGTTCCTCCTAGAAGGTTAGGAAGAGCCTTTGTCCAGCTCTGACTGTTTTGCCAGTTAAGGTGCCTGCCCCCCTTTTAAAGTGAAACCTTAGCATCTGTTGCTCATGCCCTCATTATGTCAACATTGGATTACTGGAACTGTTCTCTATTTGGAGCTGTCTTTGAAGACTGCCTGGAAATTGCAGTTGGTACAGATTGTGGCAGCCCACATGTTGGCAAGTGAGAGCTGCTATAGCAGAGTTAAATCTGTATTGTAGGTACTGCGATGGTTGCCGGTATGGTTTTGAGGACTTTCAAGAAGCTCGCCTTAACCTATAAAGTCACTCTGTGGCTTGGGTTCAGATCACAGATAGAATCTGTCTGTCCTGTTTGATCAGTTTGCAGGGGATGCTCTGGTCCCTGCTCCTTGGGAGGCTGAGGAGACAGATTCTTGGATGGAACTGGGGTTTCTTGGTGGTCTTTTCCCAGGTCTAGATATATTAGGAAAACAGGGAAAATCTGGTTTTTCTGTTGAGCATTTGAGGCAGGCAATGTTAGCTGAAGATGATGTTGATATTTCTCATAATGTTTTGAAATATGGAAATTTTAACCTTATTTTAGCCAACCAGAGTTATCGAAGTATGTGAATTATAAATTATATAGGTAAACACTCACAAGTCAATAAGAATACAGAATAACAGAGTTGGAAGGAACCTTGGAGGTCTTCTAGTCCAACCCCCTGCCTAGGCAGGAAACCCTACACCACTTCAGACAAATGGTTATCCAATATCTTCTAAAAAATTTCCAGTGTTGGAGACATAACCTATAGCTTACAAATCACAATAGCTAAGTGCACACACTATATGCTAAGTCAAAACTTAAAAAAAAATGCCCATTAGGTCCATACTTACAGTTGGGCATGCTGTTAACTGAATAATAAAATTTTGAGTTGTGAAATGAAGTTGAGCTATCCATAGCTGGGTTACATGTTTTTGTTTTTAAGTGACTAATACAGCCATGGTTCTTTTGAACTGAATTAAAACATACATGAACTCTATGGAGCAAATAACATCTATATCATATGCAGAGCAATTTCAGCTAGATAAATAACATAGGGCAGGAAAGGTAATCTTCACCCAGTTCAGTGGTCCTAATCCATTTGTTTGCAAAAAGATGAGAGAATCAATCACAGATCTGCTTTAATTGAGACAGTTAGCCGTATTCTTGTTTAGACTTAGGCTTGCCTCTATCAAAACTGTGGAATCTCACAGATAGAGATGATGATGAATGCTAAATTGTAAAACATGGAGAAATTCCAAAATGTTCCAAAAACCCAAAATGTACTTGCATATGTGATTTAGCTTTGCAGATCCATCTTCTTTGTCAGGCATTGGAGCTTCTTTGCAGGATAAGAATAAAAGCCAGGGCTGTGATGCTCACAGGGAAGTTGGAAATAGGATTGCAGTTGCTAATGGAATGAGCATTAATTGAGAGAAGCATCATTTTATGTTACGTATTTGCACCCATATCTTCTGTCCTTTTGCCAGCTGTGGTCAGGTTGAATTTTTGCATTCTTCAAACCTCTCTTGGTGAGGGAAAGTATGCAAAAAAATATGCATCCCAATTGGCTACAGGGTACTTTATATTCTGGAAGAGTATTTTGCTTACTTGATCCTGCTAGGATGTTTTTTCCCTGCTTTGCTAAAACTTTTCTAATTTAATTTACCTTTTAGGTGTTCAGTGAAGATCTTTCCAAACCTGTTATGGACCAGATAGTCTTGGAACTGATACGGGTCTACACTTTGGATGCAGAGATCTAAGTATACTTCCAGCCGAGGGTCTGTACTGAATTGTCATGTTTCAAGCTGGGATAATGGCGGAAGTGTTACTGATACTTGAAGGGATTGACACCAGAAGCGCATCCTGTTCTTTTGAGGCATCCCACTGAACAGCACTAGAGTTGAACAAGCAAAGCACCTTGATAGCGCTGAGGATCTTCTAATGGAATCACTTTCCAGTGGAGAGTTCGTCTGGAACTAATTTTCCATCGCCCACAAAAGGAACAATGTTCTGAATTGAAGTTTGTGGAATGAGGAAATGAGTAAAAAAGATTCTTCACCTATTTCAAGTAAAATGTACTGGCGAGATATTTACCTTGTGTTTCTCGAGTAGTTACCCAAGCGTCAGTGCAATCATTGTCTTGTGCTGACCTTTTTGTGAAAGTATTTATTTATTAGATTTGTGTGCTGCCCATCTCATCTAGATGCGACTCTAGGCAACTTACAAATATTAAAAGCCAGTAAACATTAAAATGATAAAATAATATATAACAACAATAAAAATTAAAAGTTAAAAGATGGGGTGGAGGGCAGCATGAAGTACATGGGGAGAGTTGGGATCTTCTCTTAATCCGATAGCCATCTCCAGAATGGTGTACCCCCATTGGGGTCCCATGCCAACTGTCAGGTTGGTAGGGTGGGTGCAGATCTCACCTCTTGTATGAGTTCCAAAGGGCAGGAGCTGCGGCAGAAAAGGCTCCTCTCCTGGACCTTGCCAGCAGAAATTCCTTAACTGACAAGGTATCCCAAAACAAACGGCAACCAGTGCAGCTCACGTAAAAGTGGTGTGATGTGGGTTTTGAGAGCCATAAAAATTCCCATGCTGCAGAATTCTGCAACTGTTGTAGCTTCTGAATACTCTTCAAGGGTAGCACTGTGTAGAGAATATTGCAATAGTCTAGGCATGAACTGACCAGGGCTTGAATGACTGGAGGACTCCTGATCTAGGAAAGGTTGCAACTTTGGCACAACACAGAGTTGTGCAGAGGCTCTCCTAGCCACGATTACCAATTGCTCTTTGAGCAGGAGTCGCAAGTCCAGGAGAACCCCCAAATCGTGCACTGGGTCTATCTTGGGGAGTGCAATCCCACCCAGAACTAAAGATGCCAAAGTCCCCAGATGTCAAGGCTCCATGCACCCAAAGCCATTCAGTCTTGCCAGGGTTTAGTCCCCATCTAGATCCCCACAGCCTCCAGGCACTGTGAGAGGGCAGCAATAGCATCACTTGGGTCACCAGGGTGGAGATACAGAGTTGAATATGTTGAGGGTAAAACTTCCCTCTGCATAGTAGGCAACAGACCGGACAGCAAAGAGATATGTTGCTGGTTAAACACACAGATACTCACAGACTCTGAATGGTGAAAAAAAAAAAACATTCTTTACTCTTAGTGAAAAAACAAACTTGGTTTCTCAAAACAATGATAACACGTCTTCGAATAATCACTCTCCAACACAAAACATAATTTGCTTACAGTTCTCTTCAGTCACACACAGTCCCTCTTCAGAAGATCATCAAATAGCAGGAGCAGGAGCTCCCGGGCTTCCTGTCTACTTTTATGGCTGCCTGATAATAGCACAGCCAATCATTCTTCTTATATCATTTAAAGTCACAAACATAGTTTTTCTATATATTACCTTCCCAACCGTAGGATAAATATCCAACAGAGTATCATCTGTATACTGAAGATACTTCAACCCATGGTGATGGATGCCCTCATCCAGTGGCTTCATTTGGATATTAAAAAGGAGTGGACAGAGTACCAAGCCCTGCAGGGTGGATTTGATTTAAATCACGATTTAAATCTATGGAATTGGGATCGTAGAAACACCCAGGAGCATAGAAGAGCTCAGAGGCAGATGTATGAATAAATGTCTTAAATGTATTTATTCATATAATAAAGCATATTAACTATGTACAAAGGCTGTCTCAGTATTCATTATAGGATAGGGGGCACACAGTGTGTGTGACTACCCTGATCGGAGATCAAGTCTCATGAGGAACAAACGCAAGACGAGAGAGAGAGAGAGAGAGAGCAAGGTGGAAAAGGTTGGAGTGGGTTTTATACTCAGGGTAAGCCCCTCCTTTCCACATAGGGGTGGAGACACTCTGCCTCCACTGGTGTCTATATGACACATGTGCCAATGGCTTGCAAATACTTGACAGTTCCCCTTCTTGCAAGCCAATGGCATGCAAACACACTAATGCAATGCACAACAGATTTTACCCTGTGAGACATAATTTCCTACACAGATCTTTGTGCCTATCCGCTGGTAGAGGTTTTGTGAAAATGTCAGCTGTTTGATATGTTTGGTCTGACAGTGTGTTAAAGAAATAAACCCCATCTCTACTAGTTGTCTAACATTTTGATAACGGATATCAATATGTCTGGACCTTTTCCCCACCGCATAGGCTTTGGCAATGCCTATGGCCCCGGTGTTGTCTTCTATAATTTGGATGGGCAAAGTCGGTGGTGTCCAGATGCTAGAAATTAAGGCATCAAACCATATCAGATCGTTCCCTGCCTCTGATAGGCATGCAAATTCAGCCTCAGCGGTGGAGCACGAAACAAATTTCTGTTGCCCCACATGCCAATGGATGGGTGCCCCATTTAACAGTACCAAGAAGCTTGAAGTACTCCTACGGGTCTTGGTATCTCCGGCCCAGTCCGCATCCATGAAGCATTCTAATTGGGCCTTGTCTCTATTCCTAGGTTCCAAGCGAAGCACGTAATCTGCTGTGGTCTTGAGATACTGTCTGGATAGCAGGTTAACGGCCAGGGCAATGTCTGGACGGCTCCAATTACTTATATATAATAATGAGCCGACCACTGACCTAAATAGAGTATTATTTTGGAACTCTGGGCTATCCTTGTGTGCCAAACCATAATAGTCGGTCTGCATTGGGATAGTAGTTGGCTTGCTATCTTCCATTTTACATTTCACCAAAAGTTCCTCTATCTTCTCCTTTTGGGAGAGAGCAAAACCTTTTGGCGTAGTGATGATTTGTACGCCTAGGTACTTGTCCACATATCCTAAAGACTTTAGAGTGAACCTTTTTTGTAGGGTCCTGGCAAATATATTACATCCCCCCTTGTCAGGCCCTATATATAAAAGGTCATCGACATACACTAGGACTTTCTCCAGCCCCCCTTTGGTATCACTTGTGAAGGTACATTTATCAGCTGGAGATGGATGGAAACCCAGTGATTTGAGTGTTGTAGTCAGGCATTTGTACCACATTCTGCCTGATTATTTGAGGCCGTACAAACTTTTCTTCAGAAGCCAGGTGTGGCCTTCCTGCTGCTGGAATCCAGGAGCACCTCTGACGTAAATTTTTTGTTTTAGATGTGCGTGTAAATAAGCAGTTTGCACGTCGAATTGAAAAATGTGTTCCCCATGTGCTGCTGCAGTGACCAAAGCAGCCCTCACACTTTCTGCTCTCATGGTGGGGGAGTAGGTTTCATCAAAGTCCTGCAAGTAGCGCTGTGCGTAGCCTTGTGCTACTAGCCGGGCCTTATAAAGGAGTTTGTTATTGGGTATTGGCTTGACCTTGTAGACCCAACAGGTGCCAATTGCCTTCCTCTGTTTGGGGACTTCCATGGGGATGAAGACTTTCAATTTTTTGAGACTGTCCATTTCTTGCTCCATTGCCACCTTCCACCTGCGCTGTTCTTCCTCGGGAAGCTGGAGGACATCTGTGTATGTTTTAGGGGCCATGGTAATGTTGTTCACAGAGGCCACACAGCCAATGTCCAACCTTTTGGGTGACACCCCTTTATTGGAGCGTTTTGACCGTCTGGGGAATTGCCACTCACCATCATCACTGTCATCCGGAGCATCGGTGTCAGAATTGGAGCTGCCGGATGCATCTTTCCAATCGAAATGAGGCGGGCCTCTGTCCCAGGTGCTGCGAAGATATAGACGTTTTGGTGAGGCAGGAGGTGTGAAGTCACCCAGGGATTGCTTGTCCAAATCGTCAGAGTCAGGTAGGGATTCATCACCATCCGGATCTTCGCTGGTCTGTAGTTTGGAGTATGTTGGTTCATCCTCTTTAGGTGGTGCTTGTAGTTCAGTGTCATTTCTAATAGGGAAATAACCGGGTTCACTGGAATGAATTCTTGACCAATTTGACCCCTCCTCAAAGGAAGCTGATCTTGAGGCAATGACAAGGTTATTTTTGTCTACAAATCTAGAGGCCTTGCTGCCGGTTGCATAACCTATAAATCTGAGCCTCCTCGATGCCTTGCCCCCCTTTCTTCTGAGGTGCTTGGGAATATGGACCCAGGCATAGGAACCAAAAATTCTCAGGTGTGAGAGGCTAGGTTTCCTTCCGTGGACCAGGAAGTATGGGGTTTGGTTAATGGCACTGCTCCATGTCCTGTTGACTAGATAATTAGCCATTTTGACTGCTTCTGCCCAAAAAACTTGGCTCATGTCGGCATCTGCAAGTAAGCAGTTCATGACATTCTGCAGCACGCCATTTCTCCTTTCTACAATGCCATTCTCCGAAGGAGTTTGAGGCGATGATTTAAAATGGAGGATACCTCTTTCCTTCATTCACTTTTCAAAATTCCTGGATGTAAACTCAGTCCCCCTATCGCTCTGCACCTGAGCGATGCACACCTTGTGTTGCATTTGGATCTGGTTGTAAAGATATTTGAAGTTGGTAAAGACTTCAGTTTTGTCCTTTAAAATAAATACATGGCCATAACGAGAGTAATCATCGACTACCGTTAAAAAATAACGCCCCTTGCCAAGGGAGGGTCTAAAAGGACCAACCAAATCCATGTGCACCAGCTGATAAGGATACCTTGCATGTCGGGAAGAGATCTTATTTTATTTATTTATTTATTTATTATTCGAATTTCTATACCGCCCTTCTCCTTTCGGACTCAGGGCGGTGAACAGCCAAAATAAAAACATTTATACATAAATACGATTAAAAATAGATTTAAAATAATTAAATTTGGCCCATAGTTTAAAATTTATCAATTTAAAATCCATATCAAAATTTAAAACCAACCATAAAATCATAAAATCAAGAGAGACCGGCTAACTGAAAGAGATGAGTTTTTAGGGCCCGACGAAAGGTCCGGAGGTCGGAGATCACTCGTATCTCTGGGGGTAGATTGTTCCAAAGGGTAGGTGCCACCACAGAGAAGGCTCTCCTCCTGGGGGTCGCCAGCCGGCATTGTCTAGCCGACGGCACCCTGAGGAGGCCCTCTCTGTGGGAGCGAACTGGCTGGTGGGAGGCTATTGGTGGCAGAAGGCGGTCCTGAGGGTACCCTGGCCCTAAGCCATGGAGCGCTTTAAAG